CCTGCCTTCCCGACCACGGCGCGCTCGGCATCTGGAGGCCCGGCCCAGCGCGAGCCGCGTGGCAGCGGCCCCGGCCCCACCCAGGGCTGGGGGACAGGGGGGCGGGGGAGGGGGAGAGAAACCGATGGGGCGGCCCGGAGGAAGGCCGAGGGGCGCCCACAGAATGGCCCGGGTCTGGCCTGTGGATGGGGTCCTCACCCCCACATAGACCCCTCCAGCATGAGCCCACCCCGAGTCTGGCCTGCGGATAGGGTCACCCCCTGACCAGGACCCCTCTCCCCCCAGCCTGAGCCCACCCCGAGCCAGGGCCCACCTCGAGTCTGGCCTGCGGATGGGGTCACCCCTCTGACCAGGACCCCTCTCCCCCCAGCCTGAGCCCACCCCGAGCCAGGGCCCACCTCGAGTCTGGCCTGCGGATGGGGTCACCCCCCTGACCTGGACCCCTACCCCTATGAGCCTGGGCCCACCCCGAGTCTGGCCTGCGGATGGGGTCACCCCCTGACCTGGACCCCTCTCCCTCCAGCCTGAGCCCACCCCGAGCCCCCGCACCTGAGCTTGGGCCCGTGGACACTGCTGCATTGTGCTCCCCAGCAGTCCTAAACTTTTCCCCTCCTGGTAGCCGGTCCCAGAGGGAACAAAACCTCATGGCAAGGCCCTAACGACCAGGTGAGATCCGAGAGAGAAGTGAAGGACACAGTAACTACCACTGAGATCCCTGAGTGAAGGACACAGTAACTACCACTGAGATCCCTGAGTGAAGGACACAGTAACTACTCCTGAGATCCCTCAGTGAAGGACACAGTAACTACCCCTGAGATCCCTCAGTGAAGGACACAGTAACTACCGGTGAGATCCCTCAGTGAAGGGCACATTAACTACCACTGAGATCCATAAATGAAGGACACAGTAACTATCACTAAGATCCTGAGTGAAGGACACAGTAACTACCACTGAGATCCCTCAGTGAAGGACACAGTAACCTCACTCAACACCCAGATGCTGTGGAGTCCTGCCTCAGGAAGCTCAGCCCGGTCCCAGGGACTGTGTGGTTAACTGTGCAGGGACTGGGGAGGCCAGGTAGTGTCCAGGGAAGGGTGGACGACAGGGCCCCCTGGTTTCCAGCCTTCGTGTCCATTCCTCAGCTCTTACCTGGTGGACTTCAGCTTAGTCTGGGCTGTCCAGGAGGGGCAGTTTGAGAAAATGTGTGGTGGATCCGATTCTGGGCCTCCAGTGGAGCAAGCAACATGAGCTCCCGGCTTCAGAGAACAACACCTGGCGCTGGACCGTCCAGCCTGTATGGGATGTCATGTCATGGAGACTGAACCTGGACTTGCCATCTGAGTCTGTCTTGTTTTCATAGTCTCTAAAGATATTAAAATGTATGCATATTTATGGAGTGCTACATGATTTTTTTTTGGTCGGTCGTGGGGTCTGAAATCTGGGCCTGGGCACTGTCCCTCAGCACCTCAGCTCAAGGTGACCACTCTACCACTTGAGCCACAGCACCACTTCTGACTTTTTCTGCTTATGTGGTGCTGAGGAATCAAAACCCAGGGCTTCAAGCATGCAAGGCAAGCACTCTACCACTGAGCTACCTGCCCAGCCCATCATATTTTAAACATACATTGAGTAATGTTCTAACCAAGGTAAATGTATATCATTCAACATGCTTTCTTCTCACTTTAAAAAATTTCTACAGTACTTATCCACCATCTGGATTTATTGTTAAGAGCCCTTCCTTCCTTCCTTCCTTCCTTCCTTCCTTCCTTCCTTCCTTCCTTCCTTCTTTCCTTCCTTCCTTCCTTCCTCTTTTTTCTCTTTCTTTCTTTTTCTTTCTCTTTCTTTCTTTCTCTTTCTTTCTTTCTTTCTTTCTTTCTTTCTTTCTCTCTTCCTCTCTTTCTTTCATTATAGATCAAGAGTAAAGCACAAAAGCTTCTGTAACAGTGTCTTTTGCTTACCAGGCTTCAACAGTAGTTTAAGGTAAGGCCTCCCTTCCATGCAGAACATTAGACACTATGTCTGTGCCCACCAACTTGGTAATATTTTCCCCAACACACTACAACCTCCTACATTGCTGCTAGGGCCTTTTAATCTTATTAATTTATTTTGCCAGGCCTGGGCATGAACTCAGGGCCTGGGCACTTTCCTTGAGCTTCTTTTGCTTAAGTCTAGCACTCTACCACTTGAGCCACAGCACCACTTCCAGTTTTCTAGCGGTTTATTGGAGCTAAGAGTCTCCTGGACTTTCCTGTCCAGGCTGGCTTTGAACTGCGATCCTCAGATCTCAGCATCCTGAGAGCTAGGATTACAGGCGTGAGCCACCAGAGCCTGGCTTGGACTAAATAATTCTTAATCACCTTAGAAACATTTCATTATACATTCTAATGTGATGACAGTAGATAATTGATCCGTGTGCTTAAGGCTACTTACTTTCCACAAAACATTGCATAGGAGGAATGGGCTGGCTTTTAGTTGCAAGCCTGAAGACTCTTCCAAGGTTAAATACAAAGAAAGGCTTTGAAATTCTAAGTTGCTGAATAGTGTAGAAGAAAACTCCATAATGGAAAGCTTAATGTGCCAAGGTGAGCTTTCAATTCACAATTCACAATGTGCCAAGGTGACCGGTTTAGTTCCAATATTTTGTATGGAACAGAATGCTATGGGAGAAAGAACCAGACCGATGTGGCTCCTAAAATTTAAAATTTAAACTCATACCTTATTCCTCCCAGGGAAAGAGTTCATTTGGTAGTAAATCCACCATAGCTCATTGTAACCCTATCCTACTGCTACTTACCAGAGAGAGTCCTTATTTCCTATGGATGCCCCAGAATATGTTCTGATAGCTTCTTCAGCCAGCCAGATCAGTCTCTGTCTGCATGAGCTCTCTGAGAGCCAGGCTGACACAAAGGGGCTATTTTTGATTGGATGTGAGGTTTCTGTGACAGAGCCTTAAGTTGAATCTTTAGTTCACAGTTCCTTTCACTATTGTATACTTGGTGGGAAATGACAAGGGAACATTGAGCAGATATGGCTGGAAAGGCAAGTAGATGGAGATAGTTTGCTTTGCCAGTCACATTTTTTAAGAGCATAATGAGCAACTAGGTATAGAATGGACAGCATGTTACAAGTTGTTAGGAAGTGTATAAAATAACAGCAATCCACAATATGTTTTCTATGTCCTGCTAAATCTTTGATTGAAATATAAGCCTAAAACAAAGCTCTTTTCTTTTTATTCAAGTGAATAATTTACTGACTTGAAAAAAATGTTATGCATAGTTAATATAAGAACTTACATTTACTTCATGGCTTTTACTTTATAAACTCAAGTTCCCTGTACATTCAGTTTGGGGTGGAAACTGACTGAACAGGTAATGCAATAATTTCATGCATCCAAGGAAATATACATAGTGAAAGATCAGTTACAGTAAAAAGTATTTGTGGGGGGGCTGGGAAGGTGGCTCAGTGGTAGAGCGCTTGCCTGAGGCCCTGGGTTCGATTCCTCAGCACCACATAAGCAAAAAGAAAAAAGCCGGAAGTGGCACTGTGGCTCAAGTGGTAGAGCGCTAGCATTGAGCTGAAGAGCTGAGGGACAGCGCCCAGGCCCAGAGGTCAGGCCCCACAACCGGACCCCCCAAAAATATTTGTGGGGTGCTAGAGCTCACACTAATAATTCTATCTACTCAGGAGCCTGAATGGGTTCTGGAAGCTTTCCTGTGCTCCATTTTCCAAATAATAGTTGGAGAAATACTGGTGGGGATTGTCAATAGAAGATTTAAATAACGACCCCATAGGGGTGGAGAAACTTTCTTCAAGGATCATTTTAATATTTGTAGCATGTTTGGGGCCATGCACAGAAGCTGCTGGTTTCTACCAATGTCTACCCATTCTGTACCAAATTGTTTGGGAGTCTTTTTACTTCCCCATTCATTATCTTGCAAAGATATTCTTCACTGTTATGTATTGTAGCACGACTCTGTTGCCATTATCAAGCTTGTAACGCAATTTCTAAAGTGTTTCCGAGTAATACAATATCAAGAATTGTTCTACATTGACATTTGCAAAACTACAGTCACATCAGCTATTTCTTGGGCTTACAAAACTGCAAAAGCTCTAATGTTTGACAGCTATGTTCCAGCTATGTGGGTGTAACTGAACAAACACAATTCTCAATCTTTGGAAGTCAAGATAGCCAATATACTTAACCCACCCATTTAAATTACAGTTACCAATCCCTGACTTGAAAGTCCAAAGGTTGATGTTGGAGACTGCTTGTGTTCACTCTTTTGAAGGTAACCCTGCTCACTCGGCTTTTCCAGCAGCTTTTCCTTGGTTGCTTTACCACCACTCTGTCCTTTGTTACTTTTGTATTGATCTAGAGCAGAACATACAGGAGGGGGGGGGCGGTGGCACTGTTGGTTGGTTGTTTTCTGAGTGCTCAGGCTGGTGCTGAATTCTGGCTCAAAGAACCCTCCTACTTTAGCTTCCTGAGTAGCTTGGATCACAGGTCAGTACCACTGTGCCCAGCTACAGAGTTCTTTATGCACCTGTCTTTACACTGTTCTCATCTACCTTTACATTTGTTAGACAAGGTTTGTCAGACTGTCCATAAAAAATGGGAAACAAGTTTTATGGGCTGACATAACTTGTCCAACTCAAGAGTTGTCACTTGCTCTGCTTTAGTTATAGATATGAAATGTGGAATTGCAAATTAGAAGGAAGCTCTTTAGCCCACACAGTGTACTCCAAGGAAGAACTGTAATTAAGTAGATAAAACTAGCTATCTTACTAATGAATCTTTTCGTTGTAACACTAAATAGGGACATGACCAGTCAACAGGTCCTGACTATGTAGAGATTTATTTAAAGTGTTTTAATTTGTTTTTTCATTTTTTAATGTTAAGAAGACTTAACAAAAGACCTATGCTTATAATTGGTTTTTAAGTACAATATTTTTATCTATAGGCAAAATGCTTAACAGATCTATACAACTTACTCATCTTACAAAACTGAAATTTCATGTTGGATTAATCAGCTCTCCTTTTCTCCCATCCAGTCCCCCTGCCCTCCAAACACCCTTTCACTGTTAGTTCTGTCTTGACTACTTCAAGTTCCTAATATAAGTGGAAGCATGCAGTACTCATCTTTCTGTGACTTATCCCACGTAACAGGATGTCCTTCAAAATTCATCCATGCTTACCTCTAATTTTGTGTCCTGTGAAGTGTGTGTGTGTGTGTGTGTTTAGATAGAAGTATAAATCTAGCTGACACACTCTGGGAACTAAAGTGATTGTGTTCTTAAAATGGACATGTCATTTCCTAAAATGGACAAGGTTGACCATCAACTTCATTTTTTTATTTTCTTTCTGGTTTCTAGTTTCTTCCTTCCATTCATAAAGAAAACCTAAGGGATTTCTTTTCTTGTTATTTGAGTGGGAAGAGATGGAAATATGCATTAAAATTCCAATTGTAGAAAAACTAGTCATAAATGTTTTCCAATAGAGACCACGTTAGTAAATTGTGTTACAGCCCTATTATGACATATATCCTATAAAAATCCTGATGAGCTTGTATTACAATAAGAAAAATGTCTGGCTAAGGAAAGAGATGTGGGCTATAAAATACATATTATATGTATTTTTATTAAAATAAACCCAGAAATCTTATTGTATAAGTATTTCGCTATCTATAAATTTTGGTGAGACAGGAGATGTATTAAGGTGACCAAGGGGATAGAGATCTTTAAAAATAAGAATACACGTTGTCTTTTTTAAATATATATTTTTATTGTAAAGACACTGTACAGTTATATGAGAAAAGTAATGAGTACATTTCCTATTATTGTTGCCTCCTCTTTTGTTTTTCCCCTACCATCCCTTCTCTCCCCACCTCCCCAACTCTTCCCTCCCTGCCCAAGTTGTAAAGTTCATTTTCAACATAGTGTCTTGTACATCTCATTGTTACAATGGGTCAACCTGTATCCTTATTTCAACATTTTGTTATTTCCATTCCCCTCCCCAAATTAGAAAAAATGTATATACACCAGAATCAAATACAGTAACAACAGGGGTTATACCATGGGGGAAGAACTTACCAAAGAAACAAAAAAAAAATCACATAGTACATTATAAATATGTTAAAAACCATAGCAAGAAAGGAAAAACCACTTGTGTCCCTATCTTGGTGTTCATTTTGCTTAGCATCATCTTATATGGTCATCTGTTTGTAGCTTTTGACCTTTTCTTCTTGTCCTAGATATATACTAGTTATTACAAGTAAGGGAAACCATGGGACCTGTTTCTTTGGGCCTGGCTTACTTCATTTAATATAATTTTTTCCAAGTCTTTCCATTTCATTCATATATACATACCACATTTTCTTGATCCATTCATCTACTGAGGGGCATCTGGGTTGGTTCCATATCTTACTTAGGGTGACTAATGCTGTGAAAACATAGCTGTGCTGGTAGCTTTGTATGGCCTAGTTTGTGATCGTTTGGGTCTTTTTTTTTTTTTTAAGGCCCATCTGATGCAACTGAAATCAGGAAACAGTTTTCCAAGTTGTTTGGACCTTTTTTCCTTACCTCTAATTTTTGTTCACAGATGCATTCACCACACCTCTTTGGCAAAATTAGAAATTGGTGTGTAAGATGTAGTACCTGCAGTTACTATCACTGACAGGAACTGAGAATATCAAAGGACTCTGTAAAATTAAAAGAGAGCAAGCGACAAACATTTTTGTAATAAATAGCAATTTCGTTCTATTTTGGAGGGAGTCTCAGAAAATGCTTGTTGTGTATTAAATTATTAACTGTGAAAATGAGTATTGGTTTAAGAGTTATAAATTTTGTTGTAGTGGTACTGGGCTTTGAACCCATTTTCCCAGTCCTACACTTACATATTTTGTTGGTACTGGAGTTGAACTTAGGGCCTTATGCTTGCTAGGTTCTCCCAATTGATCTGTGCCTCCAGTCTCTTAAATTACTATATATTTTTATAATTTTAAAGAAGTATCTGTAATTCTGATTTTAAAGTTTTTATTTAAAAATGTTTAAATAGCAAAATAAAATAGTTACATCTTATATAGTATTTATTTTTTTATATAGTATTTTTAAAAAAATCATCTTCTCTCAGCTGGGCACTGGTGGCTTACCCTGTAATCCTAGCTACTCAGGAGGCTGAGCTCTGAGGATCATGGTTCAAAGCCAGCCCAGGCAGGAAAGTCCTGGAGACTCTTATTTCCAATAAACTACCAGAAAACCGGAAGTAGCACTGTGGCTCAAATGGAGAGCACTTATATTGAGCTGAAGAGCTGAAGGACAGCGCCCAGGCTCAGAGTTCAAGCCCCAGGACTGACCAAAAAAAAAAAAAAAAAACCACCTTCTCTAGGTGGTTTGATTATTCATTACTAAAAATAATGCTGGCATGAATAATCCTGTGCATTTATTCACTTTGGGAAACAGACAACAGGATAATGAGTAACAACATTTAACTATGAAAGCAGCCAGGAGCCAGAATGAAATAAGGACAGAAACCTTAGCCAGGAAACTGTGTCATGTGGTCTGTCCTTGTTAGCATGAGAGGCAGTGATTCACACCAGCCATTCTAGGCAGCAAGTCTAAAAGTACACAAGGAGAGCTTGTTTAATAAACAAGACTAGAGGCAAAAGTAGAGTGGAACTGAGGGGAAAAAAATCCTTAATATGTTTATAAAGTCACACTGGAACTCAAGTAGGAACAGAATATTGTTTCTAATGGATGAAGTCAATATTCTTCACCCACTTGCACTTTTTTGAGTAAAATACATGTAAAAAATTGATAAAAATTTTGGCAGCATAAGATTTTAGGCTTGGAGGAATAGTAAATCCTTTATCCTAACTCTGGGCAGCTTTGGTATTATATTCCCAATAAATTTGAGATTTAATTACTCAGTTTTAGTCATTGGATTATAACACTGGTTTTGAAGTAGCAGTGATGTTCCATAAACATGTTGGTGGCCTCCGTGTAGGATTTCATCTAGTGTGAACATAATCGAAATGGTATATTCAGTCTGGATTAACAGTATGGCTTTTTTTTGTCAGTCATGGGGCTTGGACTCAGGACCTGGGTGCTGTTCCTGAGCTCTTTTGCTCCAGGCTAGTGCTCTACCACTTTGAACCATAGCACCATTTCTGGTGTTCCAGTGGTTCATTGAAAATGAGTCTCATGGGGACTTTTCTACCCGGGCTGGCTTCAAACTGATCTTCAATCTCAGCCTCTTGTGTTGCTAGGATTACAGTTGTGAGCCACTGGCACCTGGCAGATATTCTTCTTTATCTTTTTTTTTTTTTGGGTCCGGTTGTGGGACCTGAACTCTGGGCCTGGGCACTGTCCCTCAGCTCTTCAGCTCAAGGCTAGCGCTCTACCACTTGAGCCACAGCGCCACTTCCGGCTTTTTTCTTTTTGCTTATATGGTGCTGAGGAATCGAACCCAGGGCCTCAGGCATGCAAGGTAAGCGATCTACCACTGAGCCACCTTCCCAGCCCCTTTTTTTTTATTTTGTAATTTTTCGATATGGCAAATGAATTATTTTGAATTTGGGGTGACTCTTTTTATTTTAAACCAAGAAGTATCATTAAATATACCAACGTTCGTTATACCTACAAAACTTTCTGGCTCCTTACTATTTAGTAAATATATTCTAGATAAATGATGAGCTCTACTTGGTATAAAAATGGCATAAAATTATTGTCTCTGATTCAACCCCTTTTATTAATCATTATCTTTGTTTTTTTTAAAGTTAGCACATATAATAAAAGGTTAAGGTTTATGATGTTTTCTTTAAAATAAAGACTCAATAAACAGTCTTTGTTTCATTATTGTTTTACATATTTAATAAAATAAGCTGAATTAGAAGTACAATGTATCCCAACTATGAAAACTAAAAAGCATGATATTTTTCTTCATTGTTTTCAGGTACTTAGAAAACTTTAATAGTTTTTTTCATTAATTTGGATTAATTTAGAAATATTAGAGACTAATAACATATTTTTGCTCATCATAAATTGTGAAACATGCTTAGGTTTCTTCCTTGTTCTTCAGACATGAGGAATAAATAGCTCCTTCTCAATGGAAAATTGTATTCAACTTATCCTAGGGTGAAAAAAAGAATATGTGAACAGATAAGTAAATGGTTTACTTTAGGGACATACTCTTTAATCGCAATCTCATTTTAATCTAGAATTTAATCTGTCCTGTGGCAGGGAATGTTATATACTGCAGTGAAGTCTCCAAAACAGTAGTATCAGCAGCACCTGGGCACTGATATAAACACAGACCCTCAGACCTTCAAATCAAAGGCCGAACTTTAATAAGATATACCCATGGCTTGTAGATACCTTCAAACTTTTTCCTGGGTAGATGACTTTTGTTTTTCTGTTTAGTTTGTTAAGTGTCAAAGAATAAGAAGAAAATGATAAAAAGCAAATGAATGAAGATTGTTAATATGATGAGGGCAGAGGATACTTTGTAGTTCAAGCCAAAACATGCTCAAAAACTCCAACTGGATGATCATGACTCTACATGTAAACCTTAAGTTTATATTAGGAACTAGAGAGCCATATGGTTATAATACTTATTGAAAGTAAACAATAAATCACAAGTGAATAGGAAAAAAGTCTTGATTAAAGTATCTAACTGAAGCACATCACATGGCATACATTCCTGAAAATACTGTGACCCACAGTAAACTTCTCTTTAAAATGTTAGTTCTAAGCTGTCTATACATAACTTGTCATAATTCACATAATGAAGATGGCAGATTCACTGGCTTTCACCTCTGTGCTTGTATGCTGCATAATTAGTAGCACAAACCATATACATTTTTACACTACAAAACTATGGGTAAATTGTTCAGCTTTGCTGTGCCTCAAGTTCTCTTCCCATAAAACGAATCACATCTATTTCATGTGATTGTTGTAATGATTAAATACAATGATATGTACTATATATATATATATATATATATATATATATATATATATATATGAAGAATCTAGAATAAGAAACACTAGATAGCATTTGCCATTATGACTCAGAACTTGGTTAAGAGTGCCCATTCTTGGCTTTGGCAAGCTTCTTTCTGTTCACTCAAGACCACCCACCAGTTGTAGGCCGATTTCCAGGGACTCATGCACACATTTGCATGTCTCTACATTATCTGGTTATTATGCTTCATGTCGAGATCTGCTCCTTCCTCACATTCTGCTATACGTGTTTCTGGAAAAAAATTCTCTGTGACAGTGTGAAGTGGAGTGCTTTGTTCCAAAGTTTAAGTCTGTTGCAAAGGATATATCCCCAGACTAGCGGTCACTTACTTAGAATAAAATGAAACCAAGGGAGCCAAGCAAAGTACTTGTCTTGTTATTCCTTAATTATTATTTCACCTCCCTTTCCTCACCTTCATGGGTAAACATTGATCATCCTTCTAGAATAAAGGACAGTGCAGGATTCCTCCCTTCAAAGGCTAACTGTATGCTAGAAGGTTTTTGTGGCTAAGAAATACATGAAAAAAAGGGCTGGGAATGTGGCTCAGTGGTAGAACGCTCACCTTACATGCTTGAGGCCCTGGGTTCGATTCCTCAGCACCACATAAGCAGAAAAAAAAAGCCGGAAGTGGCACTGTGGCTCAAGTGGTAGAGTGCTAGCCTTGAGCTGAAGAGCTGAGGGACAGTACCCAGGCCCAGAGTTCAGGCCCCACAACCGGACCCCCCCCAAAAAAAAGAAAGAAATACATGAAAAAGTCAAGAGTACAAATCTGAGTATGGCTTCTTTTGTATCCATAAGGGTATACTGGTTAGCTCAACTGTCACCATTTGACTTCCACAGTGATTTAATGTGGATAACGAAAGAGTAGCCTAGGAAAAATGAATAAAAAGGTGATTGGACTTTGGTTGAGGTTTTTAAACAGAACATATACCACTGGTTTTTAAATGTTTGCAGTAATCTCAGAGGCCTCCATTGAAATCAGAAGCATTATGTCTTACTTCTCAGCCCTCCATGCCTTGAATAGTACTTGGCTTGTGGCAGTAAAGTGTTTCTGCTGGGCAGTCCTTGCTTCAAGCCTCCCACAGGGAGGTTCCTCTTAATGCTCCAAATCCCCTCCAGGGCCACTGTCAATATTTGCAAAAGAAAGATGATAGTATTAATATGTTCTTTTTTTAATACAAAGTGTTTCTAAGTAGGTACTTAGTGATTTTTTTCATTTGGGCAGGTGTTTGTCTTAAACCACTCAAAGTCTTCATCATTTATTCCATTGTATGCATTCAATTATTCCCATTCAATTAAATAAAAAGAATGCCCCTATGTAATTTAGCTTGATTTTAAACAAATACATGAAAAGTCAATAATATTAGAATATATATATATGTATATATATATATATATTTATAACAGAAAAGTATCAGGAATGAACCAAAGTTAATCCAAAGACTTCATGTAGTTTAATTCTTCAAGTAATTGTAAATTCCACAAACCCAAGACTCCTCTGAGAGCCAGAAACTAGATGCTATTTAATCCCTCCATAAAGGAAGCGATAGCCAAATCACAAGTTCCTATATTTAAAACACTACAGCAGTTGGAAAGTGTTACTTATACAATGATACAGGATAAAATCTAGATCCTAAGTCCTGAAACTATAATAAAGCTTACTAATGATTTGCATTGTGTTAACCCCTCTACCCTGAAAGTCACTGTGCTTTCATCTTTCAAGTAAGTCACCATTTTAAGAACTTCTTTGAAGAAAAACTACAACCAATTTTAAATAAGTTAGTGAATTCAGATTAGTTACCATAAGTTGTTTTTCTAGTATTTTAGCTTGCAGAAAACGTTTTTGGTGTCAGAACTGGGGCTTGAACTCAGGGATGGGGTACTTTCACTTAGCTTTAGCTTTTCTGCCTCAGGCTGGAGCTCTTATCACTGGAATCACAGCTCCATTTCTGGATTTTTGGTGATTAATTAGAAATAAGAGTCTCATGGATTTTCTACCAGCCTGGGCTAGTGACTTTGAACCTTGATCCTACAATTTCAGCCTCCTGAGCAGCTAGAATTACAGGTGTGAGTCCCTGGCGCTGACTTTAGCCTGCAAATTTTAATGGCAACTGTCATAGATCATAGCTGTACATTGGCATTGGTACTGACACTTTATACCTCTGCCCTAACAAATTGTCACATCATGTGATGAGTAAGATCATAGCCTTTAGTTCAGAGCAAAATAGGATTTTCAGTCTCAGTTCTACTACCTCCATTTTGGGCAAGTCTGTGTTTGGGAAACTGTCCATTTTCCTTATTTTTAAATATAGATACTGTGTGTGTGTGTTGGTGCTCGGGCTTGAACTCAGGGCATAGCCCTGCCCTTGAGCTCCTTTCACTAGTACTCTACCAATGAGCCACCCCTCCACTTATGTGTGTTTTTTTTGGGTGGGGGTGGGGGTGGGGGATTGATTTGTTGGAGATAAGAGTCTCACAGGCTTTTTTGCCTGGGCTGGCTTCAAACTGCAATCCTCAGATCTTAGCCTCCTGAGTAGCTAGGATTGCAAGCATGAGCCACCAGTGCCCAGGTGATACACTATCCACCTTGACAGATTAATTTAGGATGTGAATAAAATACATATGAAGTGCTTTGGGCTTAATAAATAGCTATCTTTATTTTTATGGGACAGTGGCTTTTCTTTCCATGAATGAATTTGGATTCCATTACTGAGCCTGTGTCAGTGTCAACACCTGCCTCTCCCTTCTCACTTGGGAGTGGAGTAAAAGATTAGTTTCTTCCTTCCGGAGGCCTTCAAGGAAAACTCCTCAATCTCCTCTAGTCAAGACGTTACAAAGTTGAAGCTGTTCTTCATATCTAACTTAAATCCTGTCTTGTCATTCAAGCCATTTTCCTTTTCAGTCCTGTTTAGAGTAGAAAATAGCTGTTCCCCAGCCCCCAGCAACAGATTGTCCAAATCAGGTGCCCACAAACATTTTTATACATCCCCTGCACACCACAGTATACAAGAGACCAAAGGAATAAACAGATTTGTTTCACACTATGGGAAGGCCTGGTACAGTTTAAAATCTGCAAGCATAGCTCTGCAGACTATGGCATAATTGTACTGGTCAAATTTAGTCATAGCCAAATAGAGAAAATACCTGAACACAAACCCCAGTGTTAAGAAATTCATTAAAAACTGTAAAGCCAGTCTAGATATGCATACGTATTTGTTGCTGGAAAACTCAGTGAGATTGCTGGAGAGAAATGGCACTACTTTTACTTGATAGGATGTTTGGTGAAAGCGTTAACAGAAGGTTACATATTAGATTGGAGAAAAAAAGGTCTATCTAGTAGGCAGCAGATTTTCCATTGTGACACCTGCTTCTTTGCAGAGAAACCATACTTCCTCAGATTGGGCCAGGCACATCTCAGAAGGTGGAAGAAAGACAAAGGAAAGAGCAGAGCCAGCAAGACCTCAAAGTGGATATGCCTAGCTTAAAAAAGTAAAGGGTAGCAGGCACAGGAGAGAGGCAAAGACAAAGCAATCAAATCTTTTCCTAGAATTTGCTAGAAATTCCTATCTCTGTCTTCTTATGCCTCCAACCCCTTCTCCTCCAAAACCTTTTCAGGTATGTTTTTATTATAGATATAAAAGTTACAAGAGCTTGAAAAGCCAGTTTAGAGCCATATCTTCTACGCTTCCCTTGTGTAAACATTTTCAGAAAGGACCAGGGTAAAAAAACTAAGTAATTGTAGTTCATGTTTGGTGACTCCTAAGCTCTAAAATTATCTTGACATTATCAGTTGGTATCTAGTAAATTTCTTTGCATACTTAGGTGTACAAAACATCACCAAAAGAAATAGCAAATAACAAAATTGTCTGTACTTGTTTAGTAACATCTTGTGTTTTCTAAATTAGCATTAGATAAACCAGTCTAAAATTACGTTTTCATGTATTAAGTTATACACCCAAATGAATGGATTGATTAGTATATTATTTAAATTAATTGCAAAAGGAAATGTATAAGGGGAAAGAAACAAGCTTCATTAATCAAATTTAAGACTACTATAACCTCCACAGATTCTAACCTGAAAAAAGTACAGAAATCATTGAAATACATTCAGAGGTAGAAAATCATCAGTTTTTTTTTCTGGATATGATATTTGGATGAAGATGTTACAGAAGGTGATATATTCAATTTCCCTAAAAGCCATCTAGAAAGAAAAAGAAAAAGGTCTAGAAAGAAGCATAGATACCCATTGAGACAGCTGCTTCTTTCAGAGAAACTGTGCTCCCTCCTCGTTCATTCCAGGAGGTAGAAAGAAAAACTAAGGGAAACCCAGATAGATGTCTGTGTCTCACACATCCTAGCTGCTCAGGGGTCTGAAATTTGCGGAATGAGATTCAAAAACCAGCCCCCGTAGACAAATCTGAAAGCATCAGGCTTTACTGAAGAGAACCAAGCAAGAGTGACAGGCCGTGAGTTCAAGCCCCAGTACTAGCACACACACACCAAGATGAAGTGGGGAGATGCAGGCAACCAGTCGATAGGAACTACTATCTGAACTGTTGCTCAGCCTTTGAGAAGCCCAAAAGCCTAGGCGATGGGGCAGCTAGAAGTCAGAAAATATTTCACATGCTGAACATCAACAGGACTAACCAGTGGATGGACTGGATATGGAGTTTGAGGAATTGCCTTTGAAGAATTTCTCCTAATCCAACACATGAGAGAGATGGTATTTCTTTCTTTTTTTGGGGAGGGGTCCGGTCGTGGGGCCTGAACTCTGGCCTGGGTGCTGTCCCTCAGCTCTTCAGCTCAAGGCTAGCGCTCTACCACTTGAGCCACAGCACCACTTCCGGCTTTTTTCTTTTTGCTTATGTGGTCTGAGGAATTGAACCCAGGGCCTCAGGCATGCAAGGCAAGTGCTCTACCACTGAGCCTCCTTCCCAGCCCCCGAGAGATGGTATTTCTTGATATGGGGAAGGCCTGTGGAAGAGTGGGTATTTAGAAGTCTGGGGTACAGAATTAGAGCTCTATTGTAAATTTCTTAACTGTGGTGTTTATCAGACGTCTAAGTGTAAAGCCAAGTAGGCTTTTAGGGGCTTGAAAAAAGCAAAGGCAAGAGATAACACACTTTGGAGTCATTATCACAATATAGATGAATCTGACCACTCAAGGAGTTGAGTTTAGATAGAGAAAAGGGCCTGATCAAGTTCTTCACATTGTAAAGGCCAGGAGGGGAGAAAGTCATCCAAGAACATGTAGAGACTGTGGCCAAAGAGGTAAAATGAAAACCAGGACAAAGTAGCCTGGTGACCTAAAGGTCAACTTGAGGGAATTTGTGTCCAATGCTATAGAGATGTGAATATGATGGAGGAAATCACTGAGAAGAATGTTATTTGCAATCTGGAAAAGAACAGTTTTCCTGAACTAATGGGAATAAAAGGTGAACTGCAATGAATGAAGGAACAAAGGACTCAAAAGGAGGTGAGGTCAATGGTTCAAGTATACTTAGAGTCAACATTGAGTTGCTAGAGGAGCTACTCAAGTCGCTGAAAGTTTGATGCAGAATGCTGTGTATGTAATATAGAGTGTCTTCTAGAAAGAGATGCTATAGCTATTATCAGGTATTCCAGAGAGGAGTGTGTCAGCGTAAACCTGTCACAGCAGAAAGTTGGACTAGAAAGTCCAACAGCTGGCTCAGACAAGCTGGAAGAAAGTTGTACTCTTTTTGTGTACAGGTTCCCTATTTTGGCTAAGGAGATGGGCTTTCTAACTAGACAGAGAAAAAGAGAAGTTTCTATTTCATTCTATTTTTTTCTAAATAGGATAGCTCTTTCAAAGGATCTAGTTTTGGCATTCAGTTTTCTAGAATAAAATAGTGTGTTTGAGTGCCCTCTGTTGGGTCTTGTAAAAACCCAGTTGACTGTATACAAAGCATATTTGAAAAAGGTTGCATAGAAAAATGACCCATTTCCTACCTCTCAGGCTGTGTCACAATCAAATGTATTAGAAAGGTGCAACACGTGACAGGCACAGATACAACATATACCTAGTAGTATTACAATAATCATAATGCTAATTTTTTTAAACACCAGGAAAAATAGTATACGTAGACTTGGTTTCATGACAGAAATTTAGTAGCTCATTCTGCATTTATTCATAGAGTTAAAATAGACTAAAACTTTCTCGGAAGATACGGAGAAAATCTGGCTATTTTATTAGCCTGTCTTTTTGTAAGAAGGAGTAAAATAAAGGCACAAATTGGGCTTTGTTAACTGGGTATACAACTATATTGTGCTTTGAACTCATGCTTGTTAGGTAGCCATTCTACTCTTAAACCATGTTTCACCTCTTTTTTTTTCTTTAGGTTTTTTTTTTTTTTTGGTCGGTCGTGGGGCCTGAACTCTGGGCGTGAGTGCTGTCTCTCAGCTCTTCAGCTCAATGCTAGCACTCTACCACTTGAGCCATAGCGCTACTTCTGGCTTTTTCTGTTTATATGGTTCTGAGGAATCGAACCTAGGGCCTCATGCATGCAAGGCAAGCGCTCTACCACTGAGCCACCTTCCCAGCCCCTTCTTTAGATATTTTTCTAATAAAGTTTCATGCTTCCAGTCATCAGGACTGGACCTCAGTCCTCAATTTATGCCTTCGTGGTATAATAGATACATGCTACCATTTCCAGCTTATCAGTTGAAATGAGGTCTTGTTAACTTTTGCCCAGGCTGTTTTCTGAGAGTTACGATTACAGTACAAGCCAGTGCACCTGGCTAAACTTGCTAGTTAATACACAGAGCATTAGGATGGAGTTCTTTTTTCTTTATTGCTTATTTGGACACAGCCAAAACAATCACAGAATGGTTAAAGAATTTCTCAAGAATTCACTTTTTATTTTGATAATTATGTTCTTTTGGTTTGTTTTGTCGGTGACGTGGCTTGAACTCAGGACCTAGGCGCTGTCCCTGAGCTCTTTTGCTCAAGTAGCACTCTACCACTTTGAGCCATGATTCCACTTCTGGTTTTTGAGTGGTCAGTTGTAGACGAGTCTCAAGAGGACTTTTCTGTCTGGGCTGGCTTGGAACCATGATCCTCAGATCTCAGCCTCCTGAGTAAGCTAGGATTACAGGTGTGAGCCATCATTGCCCAGTAAAGTTTTGTAATAAGTAATCACCCTGTGATTAAGTAGACAATTCCACATTTATTTCACAAATATACTTGTCATTGAGATTACCTGCAGGTGGATTTTTAATGTGGCACTCATCTCTCTTAATATAAAGTTCTTCTTCCAGTACTTCCTTAATTCTCTTATGTGGCTCACAATACAGAAATTTTTTCCCTGTAAAGGCATTAACAAAATTGGTTTCTTACTTCATCCCCATCTTCTTGTCATTATACTTAACTTGAACGTGTTTTCAAAACAATGTGAGTGAAAGGTTATGTTGCAGAATCAGGACGCAAACTGCTGCTTCTATTCATATAACAAAGTGTGAAGATCTATAGGATAGTATTGATGGGGCTAGATTCAATAACTTGTACTTAGTGTCAAACAGATCAAACATGCAAGTACAAGATTGAAAATTTCTGATCAAACCTGATCAGTCCAGGTTCAGGAGACCTGAGCAGGGGAGAGGGGGTCGCTGCACCACGAGTCACCACTGCCTGTCTGCTCGGTACCGAGGGAGCTCCTACCAGGAGTTGTGCCTGTCAGGTCAGACTGCAGTTCCCGCCCTGCAGATCGAAGGCTGAATTCGCTCCGTGATGAAGTGGGGTGCTCAAGAGGCCCCGGCGTGACTCTGGGGAGCGCCCCGCGGGCGGCTCGGCTCCGGGCCGCGGGGGGGGGGGGCGCCAAAGCTTCCTAATTGCCCTCTGACCCCAGCTACTAACGCCAGTGTTTCCTGGCCCCTCCCGAGTGTGACACGCCGGGGTCCGCCTCTCGCCTTCGGGGAGTTGGTTGGGGCGGGCGGCGGGAGTTCCGGGCGCAGCGGAGCGCGGGCTCTCCTCGCCCCGGGCTGGGGCGGAGGTGCTGGGCCGCGGGGTCCCGGGCGGGAGGTGTCCCTGCGGGGGGGCAAAGGTCGGGGGGCGGTGTCCTCGCGGGGGGGGCTCTCAGGGCGCAGATGCTGAGAGCGTCAGCCCGGGCCGAGCCTCGAACCCCGGCCCCTCCGCAGAGACAAGGAGGCGCTGGGAGCGCCGGGGACTTCGAGGCTCCTCTCCGCCGCGGGTGTGCGGTGTGCAGGAGCTGCGCGCGCCGGGATGAGGCGGGGGACGGAGACTCCGAGCTCACGCGTGATCGAGACAGCGCGGCGTGTGAGTGTCCGCACTGCTTTTCCTCTGGTCTGCGCATCGTCCCGGGTCGGGACCGTGTGTGAGGGCGAGGTGACGCGGCCGTGAGTGCGCGGGTTCACGCCCCGCGTCTGTGCCCTGTGCGTGTGGGACGCGTGCACACGAGTGCACGGCGGCGCACGCGCGGTCTCTCACAAAAGCCGCTGCTC